CAGACAGCATGCACAGACACTGGTTTCAGTTTCTCTTTTCTGCACAGAATCAGAAGCTGCAGACTAAGACACATCCTGGCTCCAGTCTGTCTCAGCTCCCAATTGGCTGACTTAGTTGCTATGCCTATTCATTGGCTGACCTTGTTACCATGTTTTCCCAGTCATGAATATTCTGACATTAATGTAATATAATGCATTCTTATTTATATTTACTTTATTTATATCCCACCTTTGTTATTTTATAAACAACTCAAGGCAGCAAACCCATTTAATTTCTTAATAAACTCCTTTTATTTTCCCCACAACCACATTATTATTCTGTTGTGCATCTGGCACATGTCATACATCCAAGGACTAGTTGTTAATAGTTGCTCTTAACTTTAGAGATATTAGTCCTGATGGCATGACAGGGCTGTGTATGCCTTGGTAATCTTTAGGGATTGTGCTGGGAAAGTACTTGCATTTTATTGCTTAATAGCATGCAGACCAGAGGGCTACAAGAGATAGTGGATGTAACCCCACCAAAAAAATAATCACCTCCTATTCTCAGCATTTATTCTCCCATCAATTTTATTGCATCTTTACCAAATGGTTACACATCATACCTTTGATTGAATAATCTTCAAAGGGCTCTGTTTTTTTTAAATAAGCTTAATTCACCTTCTAATGAGAAGGAAGGACTCCCTGGAGAAGAGCCTAATGATGGGAAAGATTGAGGGCAAAAGAAGAAGGGGACGACAGAGAATGAGGTGGCTGGATGGAGTCACTGAAGCAGTAGGCGTGAGCTTAAATTGACTCCAGAGGATGATAGAGAACAGGAAGGCTTGGAGGAAAGTTGTCCATCGGGGTCGCGATGGGTCGGACACGACTTCACAGCTAACAACAACATCAAAAATTCACCTTCTATTCCTGAACAAGCAGTAGAAATCTGGGTTAACCGTTTAAATAAAATATTTCTTTACTTTCCCAGCAGTCAGGCTAACCCTTTGATTTCCTTCCTAAATAGAAACTGAACCGGAGATCCCATGTGTGGGAGGCAAGGGGGGAGGGGAGGACATGTCGAATTATTTCTTTTAATTCAGTACAGCTGACTTGAACTGACCTCTCTGTTTTATTTTCACTATTTTTCCTCCCACAGCATGCGGCAAAAGAAGAAGAAAGAAGGAAACCATCCTGAGAAGCAACCTGGAAAGTTGCACCTAATCTAAAAAGACAATATTTTCATTCGGAGAAACTTGACCCATTTCCTGAATTAGATTTGATAATATCATGCTAGCAATCACTGGCCATTGTATGGCTAAATGCCTTTTTTAAAAAAAAATAAAAATAAAAATAAGCAGGTATTGCAACAATGAGAAAGACTTGGCAGCCAAGCAAACAGGCAGTTAACTGCAAAAGAGAGAAAAGAAAGTGAATGTTATGCTAGTAATGAGGAGCTGCTTGACCAATGAGCTTTAAGGGAGGTAGACATTTGGTGTAAACAAATTGTCCTGGAGAAAACCATTAGTGGGCAGTAGTGCAATTTATAGGCAGGCTGTGAATGTGTGTCAAATGTGTTATTTTAAGGCATTCTGTATTTTATTTTTCAGTTGTGGATTTTCCTTCCTGCTTGCCAAAACTGAGCCCTTGTTAGAATAGCAATTCCTCCAACATTGTAGTAGCATGTATTTTTTCCCCCATCTTAATTGTAGCATTGCGTTTGTATTGTAAATGTTTTGCTCTGGTGCTTATTCATGGCCTGCGATTTGTACCCAAATTGTTTCACTTTCAAGAGAGAGAGAGAGAGAGAGAGAGAGAGAGAGGGAGGGAGGGAGGGAGGGAAGGAGAAGAAGGAGAAGGAGAAGAAGGAGAAGAAGAAGAAGAAGAAGGAGAAGGAGAAGGAGAAGAAGAAGAAGAAGAAGAAGAAGAAGAAGAAGAAGAAGAAGAAGAAGAAGAAGAAGAAGAAGAAGGGAGACCACCTAACAATGGCTAGTAAATGAGCATGTTTATTCTTAAACTAACAACTAAGTTTCAATTCTATTTGTTGCCATTCTGCAAAAAAAAATAAAATAAATTATGGTGAAGAATTTATTTACATTGTTAGGCCTCCAGAACATATGAAACAAAAGTGGCTACAGTTTCTCCCTGCTGGTGCCTATTGCAAGACAAATCTCATCAACTTTTAACAAGGCCAACAAATCAGAGCTACAAAAATTAGACAGCCACCAGAGGGCAGCAAAAAAGAGAGTTCTTTGTGCATCTTAGCTGTGAACTGTTACTTGTCCAGATTTTTTTGCAATCTCCACCCCTCCCCCCAAAAGATACACAAAGTGGAAGAATGGGTGGAAAAATGGATGAAGCTAACAGAGGTGGCAAAAATAATTGTTTTAATGACAGAAAATAATATATCTAGTTTTATTTCTATCTGAAAACCGCTGCTAGGTTTTTGTGTCCAGGGCAGGAAATAAAATTGACTTTGGGTTTATCAAGTGAGTAGATTAGTTTGTTGTTACAGAAATGGCTAATACTTATTAAGTACTTAAAATAAAAAAGTTCAGGCTGTAATTTTATTTTGAGGCTGAAAAATTGGAAGCCCATGCATGTTCCTCCTTCCTCTTTATTCCATACCTTTTTTTTACCCATTTCTTTCACTTTCCCATTTCCTTACTACCTTTATTTTCATTGGTTTTTTAATATCACAATCTCTAAAATTTGTATCTGACAAATTTTTACAATCCAAAACTTTTAGTACTCCTAATTTTATTTGGGGGATGACCATTTTCCAGCATGTGCTTGGGCTCATTATCTATCCACTGTTGACTCAGCTATTGGAATAATTTCCAACTGGTCATATAGATATTAGTAATCACGACAAAAAGGTCCTGGTGGCTCAGCAGACTAAAAGCATTGTGATTAACATCAGCTGTCTGCAATTACTGTAAGTTCAAATCTCACCAGGCTCAAGGTTGACTCAGCCTTCCATCCTTTCTAAGGTAGGTAAATTGAGGACCCAGTTTGTGGGGGCAATAAGCTGACTTTGTATAAATATACAAAAGTATGAAGGCTATTGCTTAACGCATTGTAAGCCGCCCTGAGTCTCCGGAGAAGGGCGGTATATAAATCAAATTAAAAAAAAAAAAGATCTCCTCCCACCGGCCAATACACTCCCATAGAGAGGGGCTCCTCAGGGTGTCGTCGGCCAAACAATGCCGACTGGCGACACCCAGGGGGAGAGCCTTCTCTGTGGGGGCACCAGCCCTTTGGAATGAGCTGCCCCTAGAGCTTCATCTTAGCCCCGACCTGTGTACTTTTTGCCGTGCCCTAAAGACCTTCCTGTTTCAGCAAGCCGGACTGGCCTAATATGAATTTTAAGTGAGTGTATGTGTGTTTTAATTGAGGGCCAAATTGTATATATTTGTTTTAATTGGTTTTAAATTTTATAAATTCATGTGTTTTAATGTGGCTGTACACCGCCCTGAGTCCCCTGGGAGAAGGGCGGTATAGAAATCCAATAAACGTAAACTTAAACTTAAACTCTTTCTCCCTCCTCCTCCTCCTCCTCCTCCTCCTCCTCCTTCTTCCTTCCTCCCTTCCTCCCCACTCCTTCTCCCCCTTCTCCTCCTCTTCTCCAGCCCAATTATGCTTCAGGTGTGTGATTCCCCCCCCCCCCCATCTTGTCTTCTTAAACTTTGTCAGATTGTCTTAATAGAGGTTCAGTTTTGTTAGCTGCTGCCTGCTATTTGGAATGCTTTCCATATTGGTTGAAATCAATTGCCTTTCAAGTCTTTAGTATTAATAATCATGCAACGAACTCCCAAGAAAGCTTAGACAGGCAGAACAAATTCAGCTGTGTTTGGATAAAATCCAAAACTTGACTGTTTTGAAAAGATGCTATTGATTTTGGTGCAAAATCTTCAAGAGGAAGAGCATAGGCTTTCTGCTCCTGAAACTGAATTAAAAAGGCCTAAACCGTTATCTTGGTTGCTTTCTGATGACTTTCAGGTTTGATATTTGTGGTGAATCTGCTATCCTGGGACCTCAAATTCAAAGAGTCAGAGGATTAAGACTAAGGGGAAAAAACCATAACAAAACCTGAAGCCTTTTCCTTCATTGAAACAAAAGTCTCTAGCGAGTCAAAGAGGAAGGAATGAAAAATATCACAGTGTACTCTTAAAGATACACTCAGTACATTAAAAAAATGGGAATTAGAGCTCCTTGGGAAACAAACTGTGAACAAAAACCATGTCATTTTCCCCCTGACGAGGGGAAATCTAGGATGATCTAATCTAGGAAATCCATCCCACTACAAATGTTTTCCTTTTTTCCCCCTTCCCTTCTCCCTCCCCTCTCCCCTTTGCTGAGCAGAGAACCTGATCTTTTGCTCAATCTCCTTCTCATTCCCTTTCTTTGCTTGTCAAACTCATCCCTTCCTTCCTTCCTTCCTTGAATATTTTTTTTTTTTAATTTGATTTATATGCCACCCTTCTCCGGAGACTCAGGGTGGCTTACAATGCGTTAAGCAATAGCCTTCATACTTTTGTATATTTATACAAAGTCAGCTTATTGCCCCCACAAACCGGGTCCTCATTTTACCCACCTTAGAAAGGATAGAAGGCTGAGTCAACCTTGAGCCTGGTGAGATTCAAACTTACAGTAATTGCAGACAGCTGGTGTTAATCACAATGCTTTTAGTCTGCTGAGCCACCAGGCCCAGATAGATCATGCATAATTGTTTCCTTGCTTGTTGACTTTCCCACTGCTTACTTAATAGACAGAATCTTGGAGGGGGGGGAAGTGTCAACCCCAGCCTCTCAGCCGATCTTCCCCTAATCACTGCCACTACTTAAAAATCTAGCACTGTCTCAAAGAGGGGTTCCCTTGGAGCAGTGATGCTTGGTGGAAGGGATACAGTGACCCACTGTTTAGTCCAGCCAAGCCAGCAACTCCCTCTGTTTCTGGCAGATCAAGTTTTGTTGTGAGGTCACTGTCATCAAGCCACCTTCTCTTCTTAGAATACTTACCATGGCCAGCTGGGGCATTGACGCAATGTATGCAGCAACCTGGCCTTTCTGGGCAGTATCTTCAGTGCCTACAAAGTGTTAGGGCGGGCTGTAGAAAATGATATGGATTGCCTTCCATATGTAGGTTGTGGGCTGTGAGTACGAGAAACCGGTGTACACCCAAAAAAATAATTCCCTTTGTGGTTTTATCATTTACATAGACCATTCCTATACTTTCTTCCTATTGTGAATAATATTTGAAATTTAAGATGCCTGCAGATAGATTCCTTGGCCAGATGTTCTTCTAAGAGGTACTTGGCCAGATGTTTTTCTAAGAGATAGTTTCCCCTACCCAAATGATTTATTATTGGAAGGTAGGAAGGACAATTAGGACAATCTTGAAATAGTTTATAATAGCAAGAATGCTACTTCTAAGAAAATTTGGAGAAAATTAGAGTTTGGTTTAGAGTTTTATTTGTTTTATATTGACATTTCTAAATTAGCAAGTCACATCTGATCCCCTGTAATTAGTAGGTTTGAAGACTGTACCCAAATTTTATTAGAAGCTATCACATAGGTTATCAAAGCCAACTCGGAACCTTTTCAGGACCAAGGACAAAATTAAACTGAGGAATGATCGAAGGAGAGAAGGACAGCCTTCTTCAATGCTGTACCCTGTGGATGTATTAGGATGTCCTTGTGCTACTCCAGCTATGGGTCATGCTGGCTGAAATCCTGAGAGTTGTAGTTGCAATGACAGGGCAACAAATGGAGGAAGGCTCCATCTGGGAATCTGAATCAATCTGGAGAAGTACAGTAAGTATATATAGGTAATTCACCCTATCTGGAAGTGATTTACTGTAAACCCATTACTTTCTTTGATAATGTAGCTGTTGATTTCCCAATGAAATTGGATACAGGTGGTCCTCGACTTACAACAGTTCATTTAGTGACCATTCAAAGTTACAACAGCACTGAAAAAAGTGACTTAAGACCGTTTTGCACACTGGGCCTTTATATCTCGAAGGACCTCTCATGGACTATGAATGTTAACATGCTTGTGAAGAAGGCACAGAAGAGGCTGTACTTCCTGAGAAAGCTCAGGAAGATAAATATATCTCAGCATCTACTTCTGTCCTACTATCGCAGCACCACTGAGAGTGTCCTGACATACGGCATTCTTGCATGGTATGGGAGCAGCTCTGTAGCGGACAAAAAAGCTCTACAGAGAATCATTAAGACTGCCCAGAATATCATCGGACTCCAGCTACCAGCCGTGGACGACATCTTTGAATCTCGCTGTTTGAGGAAGTTGCATAACATTCTCAGAGACTCTTCCCATCCTGCTTACAATCTTTTTGGACTGTTGCCTTCTGGCAGAAGATACAGAACAATTAAAACTCGGACCATATGTTTTCTGAATAGTTTTTATCCCAGAGCTATGGTTGCACTCAACAATGAACTAAAGGGCCACCATCAGTGAGCTGTTGGGCAGCATTACTTGGTCTGTTGTGTGGATTTTGGGGTGGTTTAGGGGTGAGGAATTGTGGTGGGTGGGAGTGTGTTTGGGGATTGTTATGTGTGTTGAACCTGATCTTTGGGTGTTAAGTGAATTTCATTGTATGGATATACTGTGTATACATGTACAATGAAAATAAAGTTATTATTATTATTATGACTATTGCAGCATCCCCATGGTAACATGATAGAAATTCAGATGCTTGGCAACTGGTTCATACTTACAACGGCTGCAGTGTCGTAGGGTCATGTGATCAGCTTCTGCAATGTTCTGACAAGTAACATCAGTGGGAAATCCAAGTTTACTCAACAACCATATTTACTAACTTAACAAATGCAATGATTCATTTAACAACTGTGGCAGGAAAAGTCGTAAAATGAGGCAAACTCAGGTAGTAAATGTTTCACTTAGCAAAATAAATTTTGGGCACCATTGTGGCCATACCTTCAGGGTACTACCTGTTGTGCACTTGTGCATTTCCCCCAAAATCATATTATTATTATTATTATTATTATTATTATTATTATTATTATTATTATTATTATTATTATTAATCAAATTTCTATACCGCCCTACTCCCGAAGGACTCAGGGCGGTGAACAGCCAAGATAAAATACAGATAATACAAATATTAAAAAATCCCTTAAAATTATTAAATATTTTGGCCGAAACACAGATTAAAACACCCAATTTATCAAATCACGAATTAAAAATTTAAAAAAGGAGAGTTAGGCCAGGCCAGCCTGCTGAAATAGAAAAGTTTTGAGAGCACGGCGAAACGTGCGCAGGTCCGGGATCCTCCGTATCTCCGGGGGGAGCTCGTTCCAGATGGTAGGTGCCCCCACAGAGAAGGCTCTCCCTCTGGGGGCCGCCAGTCGACACTGACTATATAATTTGCATATTGAATTGTGATTATTCGATGAGGTCTTCAGAAGATAACAGTGTAGCAGGATAAACCTTGTAGTAGGGAAAGTATATAAAAAGATCAAAGAGGAAAGCTTTAGGAGAAAACAGAACAGCTTGAATCCAAAGAAATCTCAGAAAAAAATTAAATGCTGAGATGAAAATGCAAGTTAAATTTGTCATTATGCGGTTACACGAAGAGTTAAGAATCAGATTCAACTGACAAATATTACTACTGTAATCAAATTAAAATTTGTCTTTAAAAGGCTTGCCACAAGAGGGCACACTAACAGATATAAGTCTCACACCACCAAGTAAGAATAGTTTGTGTAGGAAGGGCAAAAGAAACATTGCATCACCATTTTCCTCAAAATATTTTTACAATATGAAGTCAATCTCAGAAAGAATTTGACCCACTAAAATGGATTTGGTTTTCAAGCCCTAGCGTATGAAAAGCTCTTAGTTGATCCAGATGATGTTTCTCTTTAAATGAGCCTTTTTATTACACTGAGTTACAGTCTAGCATTTAAAATAGATTTTAGGCAAACATAATGGTTGTTGTTTTATAATTTCTAATTATTGCAATGTAAATGCCTTGTTACCACCTCACTAATACAATGCTGCAGATGTGTGTGAGTGTGTATGTATGTGTTTGTGATTCATTTTAATTCTGCCTTTACTGTAAATACAGCATCCAGTGATTATATCTCCTTTAAGATCCTGATAGCTCCCTGAAGTGCAGGATGGCTTCCACTCTATCTTCTAGTCAGCTTCACTACTAATTGATTCATACAAAGTCATTTGTTGCATTTGGACCTTTTATCTATAACAGGGGTGTCAAACTCAAGGCCCGCGGGCTGGATCTGGCCTGAGGGGTGCTTAGATCTGGCCTATGGGGCTGCCCTGGAAACAGCAAAGGACTGACATGCGGTGCCTCTGCCAGCGAAACGGAGCTCCATTTTCACTGGCAGAGGATTGCAGGAGGCCGCCACAACCGAAAACGGAGCTCAGGAGCCCATTTTCGCTGGCAAAGCACTTGGGCTGGTACAGCCACCCCTGACATGAGTGATGTCAAGCTGGCCACGCCCACCCTGGTCATGCCCACCTGGCCCCTGAGGTTAAACACAACCCTGATGCGGCCTTCAATGAAATCAAGTTTGACACCCTTGATCTATAAATAAAGTCATTTAGATCACCTTTGGATCTGTTGGTTTAATACATTTTCCTTTGGCTATCTCCTTTGACCACACTCTAAAAAATGAATACGCAGAATTACCAGATGAAAATCCTTAGAGTATGTTACATAGGATTGTTCAGGCTTTTAAAATTTAGGCCTTCAGATATTTTGGGTAAGCTCTGCCCTCCTGAGTGCAGTGACTACTGGTCATGCTGGCTGGTCAGGGATTCAACTCCACAATAACTAGAAAAAGTCCAGGTTGGAGCAGGCTAGCTTACATAACAATACAACTTACGGTCAATTTACAACCGCAATTGAGCCCAAAATGTTTATTGCTAGGCGTTAAGTGAGTTTTGCCCATTGGGCTATCTTTCTTGCCACAGTTGTTATATGAATCTAGCTTCCTCACTGACTTTGCTCGGCAGAAGATCCCAAAAAGGGGATGGGATGACCGTTGCAGGACACTGCAACCATCATAAATACATGCCAGATGCCAAGCATTAAAAGTTTGACCATGTGAGCATGGAGATGCTGCAACATTTGTAAGTGTAAAAAACGGCCATTGGTTACTTATTTTTTCAGTGTCATCGCAACTTTGAATGGACACCAAATGCACTGCTATAAATTGAGGACTATTAGGTCAACAGGTGTAGGAAGGAAAACATCAAAACAGGAAAATCCATGTATACTGTACAGTAAATGCTTCATTCATCATTACTCAAAATAGATAGAATCATGCAGCTGTACAAGGAGTGGTGTTTAAACAGAGTCAGCCTAACTGTCACTTGGTGATTGTTGTTATTGTTACACATTTAATAAACCAACTACATTAAATCCATGGAAATCCAGATGATGAACAAAACCTGTGTTTATTACTTGAACTACATAATTGACCAGTGAGTGAGTTTATGAGTACTTTAATATTTAAGTATTTAAGTATGTCAAATAATTTCCTGTTATTTTTATATCTTTTCTGTGTCATTAACTACTTTAATTGTCCTTCTCAAATGGAAAAGAGAATATATCTGGTATTCACCTGGAATAGCTTCTCAAACATTAAAATCTTTGAATTAGCAAAGTCCAATTTCTCTAACAGTATAAGGGAAGCCTGGCTAATAAATACATATCAATAATAGTAACACCGCAGCGACATTGACATTTAATCAAAGAAAGCTAAGATTACGTCAAAGAAGATATATGTGTCATGCTCATTTTACTGGTAGATGACTTCCAATCCCAAAAAACCTATTAGAAAAATCTAAAACAAAAAAAAAAGAGTGTATTTAAACAGGGAACATCTGCATGAAGAACATCTGGAAGAAAGACAAGACATATAATATCAGGGCAAAGTGGCTGTGGGACCTGAAAGCTGACCACAGCAATCCCTCAGAACAGGAACTAGTCATCAAGGCAGTATCAGAAATCAAACAGTGGGTCAAG